TAAGGAGTAGAATAATTGATAGAAAAGCTACGGTAAAAGATAGAGTAAGGAGAAGTAAGGATATGCCTACGGTAGTTTTGAATGAGATTAATAGAATCTGGGTTTTAGGCTTTGTGTAGCTTTTTTTGGCAGAGTGAATGAGATGAACTAGTCAGGATCTGCTCTTACTCCTTTGTTTAAGGGACGAGGTAATAAGCTATGGTGGTTGGTTTCAGTCTTCAATGTTTCAACATTGAATTACACAGTACACTCGCGAAGTCAAAGAGAAAGAAAGGGCCTGCCAAATACTGGCCGCTTACTCATTCATTGAATTACACATTCGCTCTTCAACTCAACAAAATCTTACCTTATGTCAAGACCAAGAGGTGGTCCGTTGTCAACCTTCTTACTCATTTAGACTTTGTCATCCCTACCTTTTTAATTGAACATGTACCCTACAACCACCAACACACGTGGCATTTGACGTTATGCCGTATTTATTTCACTTAATTAATCTTCAATATTATAGAATAATATATATAGCTCGGGAGTGATTGCACTTTCTTTGTTGCAGACTCAGATTATCAGTGATGAAACATGGAAGCTGATAGATGGAATTCGGGAGAGGAGGGTGCAGGAAATCAAAGAGGAAGTGACGAGAGAAATCAAAGATGAAGAGGAGATACCTCAGCTATTGTTGGCTGATCATTTCCTTTGAGGATTCATATATTTCCGAGGTACTACTGTGCAGCATGTACCATTTACGGTCATGTTCCCCACCCCCTTCTCTTCTTGTGTATATGTACACTTTCTCTTGAGATATTTATTGCATGGCTCTCTCTCTCATTTGTACATATGGCCTGCAGCTGCAGTGGATTTCTGATAAAGATGGATTGCTGAATTTCCAATGTCACTTAAGCGGCCTGGCCTGTAAATGCTCCAAGAAATAACTTGTTGGTGCTTTTGACAGGTCGTTTGTTTCCATTACCATTTGCAGTTATCGAGGCATTGTGATGACAGCAGAAATCAAGGTTAGAAATTACTCTCGAACTTAATTTGGAGAAAGCCTTCACCAACTTGGTCAAGTTTCTCTTGGCATGCTATATTTGGGGTTTGGAAGAAAGCTCAACTAACAGATTCTCACCTTGAAGGATGATGGGCCTCACGATCTGGGGCACTCAAGCTGCTGTATTGTGCTCTAGGTGGGAATCCGGGTTCTTTTGTGTATGTATAAGAAAGTTTTTGAAGATATTTGAATTGCGGTCTCCTCAGCTGTCGTAATAGCTTGTATCTACTGATTCTCATCCTCCTTGAAGGGTCACGGGCCTCAGGATCAGAGCCTATGGAGTGTGCAAAATTATTCTCTAGATGCTTTCTAGATTTTGTTATGTTTTTTCCAAAAATTTGAATTGGGTTCTTCGGGCTGTCGAATGTGGCTGTGATCGCCGGAGAAGACCAGAAGCAAGAGTTTAAAACCAAAAGAATAGCAATTACTGTCAATTATGCGCGGCAAAGTGTATTCATTTGCCAAGATAAATTTTGACTGGAGTATTGAATTAATTTTATTTGCGAATTTTCAAAAATATTCAATGAAAGGCTTGTAATCTTCCTAAACTCGACTGAGAAAATAATATTCTAAATGTTCAGCAAATGGACAGCTCTTAGACATAAGAAGGTTCCTCCAGTTTTTTTTTTTTTTTCTGAAAAATATCCTCCAGATATGTTACGAGTTTTCCCTGTTAGCAACAACTCCACATGAAAAACTAAAAGAATAACCATCTTTTAATTTTCAAGGAGGATTAAACTCCATAAAATCTCTATTTAAGTATCTTCTGTTCATTTGCAAGGAGGTTTCATTGAATGAGAAAAACTTAGTGAACACAAAATAAAAAATGATACAAAAACTTGTCAAAATGGGTTGAAATTTGAAAATATGCGCACTAAATAATCCTAAACAGCTTATTATTATTGAAAGATATCAACGGGAATAAATCCCCAATAGTACATCGAGCTAAAGAAAAAAATTCGAATAGAAGAGGGTATTATGTAACAAAAGATGTATTACGTAAAAATGCTTGAAATTGAGGGAAAAGGTTTTAAGAGGTCTCCAAAATCACTATCTACAAGGAAGTGCAATAAAGGAAATCTCAAAACAAGAAAAAACAAAGAAATAACAAAAATGGAAGACAAAATATCTATCATTTTCTTAGATCCCCTACAAGAAAACTTTCAGGCTCGCTGAGGTCATGGTCAAAGACCTATAAAAGAAAACTCGCATGCCGGACAGGGTTACTGGCAAGACCCTTTGAAAGAAAACTTTGCATGCCAGCCAAGGATATAGGCAAGGAATTCTCATGTTCTGAAGGATCCTAAAAGAGTTCCATTAGTTTTAAAAAAATCTTCTGAAACATTTGACAATACCAATGACTCAAAAGTTCCAATCCATAATGTCTGCAATCCCATAAGGAATTTGCCTGCATTTGAGCTCATTTGATAATAAAATTCCAATGCCTGAAAACAGCCTAATAGACATCATGAGAAAATCATAACGGGTATCGAAAGAGCTCTAGAATCTATCGAGCTGTTAAGCCATAGAATCTATGGATCTGTGAAATAGTGTTGGACTTAAGGAAGTCTTCACATCTTTAGAACTAAAAATATATTGTAGGAAATATGAGTCCTTACAACCTCACGATTTTGCATCCCTGAAAAAGCCTCTTATACCAGATGGCCACAGATTCCCATTGGAGCTGGCAACAAACTTTGCCTTAGAAGAACCAAACTCCTGAATAAAATTATTTTGTCTTAAAAAGCCTTCGGGCGGTTTCCTTCTTTGGTGATCGATTTGGTCATGATGACGTTGACAAGAGCTCCTCTTCCACTCTTTGAACTCCTGAGGATAAGAGCCCCTTGCCTTGTTTGCTTCATTAATTGCACATTACCAAATCAATGTTCTCTCATGGTGCTCCTTTTCTACCTCTACTGGTTAGAACTACCCAACTCTCAAGGTAGCCAAATGAACACTGAATTCAACTCCGGAAAAGGCAGTGCTTCAACAAATTGTTCACATTTTCCATGTCCTTCACATACATAGAGCACCTTTTTTAATACAAGAACTTGCCTTTGAAAATGAATACTCGACAGAACTCAATCACATAGACCCAACCAACCAGAAGCAAGTACCTATGTCGGGCGAGGGCTTCCACAAATGAACAGAAAGGGATCCTTGACTCAACCACTACTCAGCATAAAAAAATTGGTCTGAGATTCAGTTGCTACTTCCTCATGACCATGCAAGCCTGTGTCAATAGGCTTTCTGACATGAGGAAACATACACCTTCTCAAGATAACATGGAAGTCCAATTCCTCATCCTTGAGATTCATGCTAAAATGTGATCTCTACCTGTCTTTGATCTGAGAGCAAGTGCAGCAAGGTGAACAAACTAATCCTGCAAGGCTTAACCATAAATGAGCAACATTGAGCCTTGAAGTATTTGTAGATGTCACCCACAGAGCAACATTGACCTCTTTCACTTTGTCAATATATTTGAAATAAAGTTCATGGTTATACTGTTATATTGATTGCTATGAAAGATACAAAATATGTGCCGCCTGCAGACAGGGCGCTCTGCACAAAATAAATTAAAACAAAAAATTGCTATACAGCCAACAAAACCCCCAAAAGATTGGAAGCATCTGGGGACAAAAGCTCAAAAAGGTCCCAGAATGCCTGAAGGTGCTCCCTTCTTAGCGAGACTGTCAGCTTCTGAATTCTCCTTGCGCCATGTATGTCACCAGCAGTGTGTATTGGCAGGCAGAGGCTGAAAATTTCTTCAAAGATGTGAATGAGCCTCCACATACACCATGTAAATATTGTCCAAATGAGCATTGCAGAGCCCTTAAGCTTGGAAAAAGGTCTACCACTTTGGATTTCTCACTCAATCCATTCTAAGTTAGAGTAGATATCCTCAAATTGGAATTGGGTCCTGTCTCCAGACAAAAATTCATGAACAGAATTATTTACCTCAATCAAGCTACAACCTGGTGTCTTAGCCATTTGCATCTCTCTCATCCTTGTTCTCAAACTCCTTACATCATCCCACAACCCAGTGGCTGCATAAACATTCGATACAAGAACTTGGTAGCCTGAATTATCAGGCTCCAATTCTCGGATATTCTTTGTCGCAATATCAGCGAGATTTTGACTCCCATGAATCTTGCTAGATGCAAGCAAAGTGGCCCATATCACAGCGTTAGGCTTCATAGGCATTTTATGAATGAACTCGAGTGCTTCCTGCAACAATCCAGCACGGCCCAAGAGATCAACCATGCTCCCGTAGTGCTCAATCCTTGGCTTGATTTTGAATTCTCTCACCATCCGGTCGAAAATCTGACAACCATGATCGACCAACCCTGAATGGGAGCATGCGGATAAAAGGGAAATGAAGATAACATCATCAGGCTCAATCCCTTTATTAGCCATGGTCTCAAAGAGAGCCAAGGCTTCTTCACTCTTTCCATTCATAGCAAACCCTGAAACAATGGTGGTGTAGCTAATTACACACTTTTCAGGCATGCGTTGAAACACTCGTTTTGCGCTCTCAATGTCTCCGCATTTAGCGTACATGTCCATTAGTGCATTACCAATTGCCAAAGTTAACTTGAAATCTCTTTTGTCCAAATATGCATCGACCCATCGGCCAAGATCCACTGAGCCTAGACAGGCACAAGCAGGGAGAACAGCTAAAAATGTGATCTCATCAGGTTCAAGACCAGTTGTTAGCATCTCTCTAAACACTTTCAAAGCATCATCATAACAAAAGTTCCTAACGTAACCAGCTATTATTGAATTCCATGATATCAAGTTTTTGAAACGCATTCGATCCAACAAGAATCGAGCTGAACCCATGTTCCCCACCTTGGCATAGCCTGATATCATCAAGGTCCAAGAGATGATGGTTTTCTTGGGCATGGCATCAAAAAGCTTTCTTGCATTTTCGACCTCTCCAATCGCGATTTGCGAAGAGATCATGGAGTTCCAAGAAACCGCATTTCTTTGAGGCATTGCATCAAAGACTTTGGTTGCGGAGCGCATATCACCACATTTCAAGTACATGTTCAGCATTATATTAAGGGTGAAGAGATTGGGTTTGAATTGGGTTTTGAGGATACAGGAGTGGATGGCTCTGCCATGGCCAAGGAAACTAGGGTTTCTGCAAGAATTGAGAAGGAATGTGAGGCTAAGGCTATTGGGTTTCAGAGATGGTACCTGGGTCATGTGCCTGTACACCATGAATGCATCAGTGATGAGCTTGTTATGTGCATAAGCTCTGATAATGGCGTTCCAGAGAAGGAGGCTCGAGTGGCCATGGACGATGACTAAAGCATGGGTTTTCTTTAAATTGGCTGGTTTCTTGCTATTGAGAAGCAATGAAGTAAGCCTCTGCTCCATGAATGAGTAGGTGGGTTTTGGATATCATGGCTTCCACAGGCTGAGCCATGAAAGGATGTTTGCAGAGTGGGGGTGGAGAGGAGTTGGAATGTAGAGAGAGAAAATGGAGAGAAGGTTAAAGCGCGCCTTTTGAAAGATTTTCGTGAACCTGGTAGGTGTCGTGGGATTAGCAGAGAAAGTCAGCTTAGGCATACAGTGAAAGGGAGCGGGACCACAGGAATTTAGGGATGGCCGCAAGGGCCGTAACTTCAAACTTGCGCGGGAAAAGATTTTGAGTGCGTATAGCATACTCCCGTGGGAGCACTCCGTAAACATTAACTCCCTTGGCTAAAAGGGATGTTTTGAATTTATTTATGGAAAAGTTTATATAACCTTATAATGTAGAACTACGGATGCACAACAAAAATTCATTGAAAAAAGTAGTTTTAGTGTTGAAAAGTCCTTTGATTGATCATCTTGACATTGAGATGTATGACTATGACAAATAAAAAGATTTTAAATCTCATAAATAGTGCATTCTACAACATATTATCTACTCCATCCATTTTCAAGATTTTCATATGTTTATAGATCTACTTGATTTTAACAATTTTTTAAATTTAAAATTTTATAATTAGATATAAAAATATATTTTGAGATAATCCTAAGAACATTTTATATCAAAATTATATAACATGATAAAATTTGAAGGTGCACCTAACCTCTACAGCTACGGATGTATCCGTATGCCAACTGCACCCTTTATTTATTTATTTTCTTGAGTTTTTGAGATCTACCTAATAATAGCTAGATAATTATTTTCAAACAAAAAGAAGTGGATTTTGATTTCTTCAACACCTAGATATTGCCCTATGAAGATTGGACGCTCCTTGTTCATTGATGTTATTTTCTTCAAGCAGATAGAATATGCGATTCGAAAATTTTATTTGGTAATGCTGAAGAGGTTACAACCAGAAATTTGGGACCTAAATACATGTCTAGCTTGAGATTTACCCAATGGAGCAAGTAAATAGTAATGGTCCTGCAGGAGTGGGTTTTGGCGAAGCTAAAATTGGGATTGAAGCCCTTTCTTGTTGACGGCTTGCTTTGATTCTGCATATTTTTTTTGGAGCTTCAAAATATAGGATTTGAGATTTACTCTAGAAGGAACTGCATAGGCCTAAACAAAACTCAATCAAGCCATAAACTAGGAAATGCAGTTCCTGCATTGAAAATTTGCGATAAATTTTCTTTATTTAGAACCTAGACAAAACTCAGTCATGCCATAAACAACCAATCATAAGCCTCTAAATAAGTCAATATACAATTTAAATTTTATAGTATATTATTGTTACTACAAGAATAAAACTAAATATATTTTTGACTTGTGAATAATATAATTTAATGTATATCATATATTTTAGGGAAATTGTCACTAAAATAGTAAACCCACAAAAAAAATCATGAGTCAAATCAGGCTACTTCAAATTAGATTGGTTACTTTATAAGGTTCTTTCAATTGCATATCTAGTAAAAAATTTTATTAAAAAATGCCTAAGTTGAATCGATTTTGGATTCAAAACCCTAAAAATGTGGGGTTACTTCACTAATTTAGCTCTTAATTGGCTCAAGCCGAATAACATAAATACAGTTACTTTTTCATGATTAAGAACCTGAGTTTCCAATAAAAAAGATGAACTTTAGGCTCCTAATACGACTAAATAGGATGCAATCATCAATTGGAACAAAATGGTATTATCATCCTTTTAAGTTCAAGGTTAGGATTCTAGAACTAGGATTTCCAATAAAAAAGTGAGGGAGTTATGGGTTCATAAGCATGGGCGCAACCATTACTTTCCTCGTGCCACTTAATTCAACCAAAATAACTATAGGGTCCCTCCATTCTAGGGTTTAGGAACCTGAAAAAAGCATATCCAATAAAAAAAATGAGTTCCCAGTTCCTAAATATGAACAACAATATCCAATAAAAAAAACGAGTTCCTAGCTCCTAAGCATGAGCAATTGAGGGTTCATTTTGCCATTTGCCTTTACCACCTTGGCTTGAGCTAAATAATGTAAATACCCTTCTTGTTAATGTTTATAATATCGGAATAATAGATATTATTAAAAACATGTTCTAGATTTTTAATCTTGAACAAGTAAGAGTATTCTTGTTAATTGGCTTGTGTCATTTAAGTGGGGCCAATTTACTAAAATAAAATTGTTTGTTTAGGGTTTTGTATCCAGAAAGGGGGACTTCAGTGTATTTTTAGAAAAGAATTCGAATTGGTATTTGAATCAATAGAACCCTCTAATCATTAATTGTTATTTTAGATGGTTTCTTTAATTTTTTATTTATTTATTTTTTATTACATAGGAGAGAATATTAAATGGGCTCAAGCTAATCTTGGCTTGGTTTAGCTCATCAAACCAAATGAATAGTCTTCAAATTCAGCTCTCACCCCCTGAGAGACCTTAAAAAAAGTCTCTCTTTTAGACCATCTCTGTAACAAGTGGGCAAAATGCCCAATTTAGCCTCTCTCCCTGGCGGTTAAAGCTTATATAAAGTTGTAACTTTAGTGGTAAAAATAAGGTTGCAATAATCTACATTACATTCTATTAGAAAAAGTTTATATAAAGTTGCAACCTTATAATGTAGAACTACGGATGCATTTTAAAAATTTATCGGAAAAAGTTGTTTTAATGTTGAAAACCATGTGATTGATCATCTCGACATTGAGATGTATGACAATGAAAATTCAAAAGCTTTTGAGTCTCAAAAATAGTGCATCTTACAACATATTATCTACACCGTCCATTTTCAAGAGTTTCATATATTTATAGATTTACTTGATTTTAATTATTTTTGAAATTTAAAATTTTATAATTAGATATAAAATTAGATTTTGAGATAATCTCAAGAACATTTTACATCAAAATTATATATTATGATAAAATTTGAAGGTGCACCGTAGTGAGATTGTTTATGGTTGCAATCTTATAGGAACCACACCCCATTTTATTTGAATGATGCAGATTTTGTTTTATCTTAAAACATGTACTCTTTTTCTTACATTTGACTCTTTTTTTTTTTTTTTTTGGAGAAAAGTTCTTGCATTGCAAGACTTAGTAGTAAAATCTACAAAAAAGATGGTGACCGAAAAAGTCACTCTATACAAGCCCTGAAGGGTCCAAACATATACTAAGTGAGAACCAAGTTCTGGAAAGGAAGGGCAAAAAAGAGCAGATTGCTACATAAGCCTAGGTATCCGAAGGAGTATCGGTGAATGCCACTTTTTGGACATTGTCTCAAACAATGTGTTAAATATCTACCGTGCTAATAAAATGGATAGTGTAGAATGCCACAATATTATTTTTATAAGTAAGGTTGTAACCTTATATAAACTACACCTTCTCTCAAATGCGAGGTGAAATGTCCAATTTGGCATCTCCCCTCTCTCAATACAAGATGTGAAACCACATAAATTTGGATTTGGTAAATTGTTCATTTATAGTTCTTCTACTGATTTAAGTGTAAGGACTTTAAAGGATCACTGTTAAATTTGACATTGATATCTAAATAAGTCAAGTCCTATACCCACGTAATAACTTTTTTAGAGATCTGTGTCAAATTTAATGGCGATCTTTTGGAGTCCTACACATATAGATGTGGGAAGGTTTCATAGGATCATTACTCATAAAAAAAATTTGAATTAATATCAACAAACCATGAACTGATGTTCAGTGCCATCCACCACAACTGAACTACAACCTGGTGTCTTTCGAACTCGATTCTCTACCATTGCTTGTCGCAACTTCTCAGCTTGTTCCCATCTATCTGAAGCTGCGTATATATTCGCCAAAATCACATAATGCACATCATTTTCAGCCTTTGTTTGAGCTGCCTCGTCAACTACTCTTTTTGCTATTTCCATATCCATATGGATCCTACAAGCTCCAAGCATAGTCCCCCATATAACAGTGTTAGGGTTAATCGGCATGCTCTCTATTAGCTCATAAGCCTCTTCGAGCTTCCCTGCTCGACCAAGAAGATCAACCATGCATCCGTAATGCTCGATTTCAGCTTTTAACCCGTAATTCTCTCTCATAGACTTGAAAAATGCGTGCCCCATTTTCACATAGCCACCATGTGAGCAAGCAGAGAGGACCCCAACAAAGGTAACACCATTTGGCTTCACTCCTTCATGTACCATTTGCTCAAAGAGCTTCACAGCCTCTTCACTTTGGCCATGAGCAGCCAACCCACTGATCATTGAATTCCAACATATAACATTCCTATGATCCATTTTATTAAACACCCTTAATGAAGAACATAGATCACCACACTTTGCATACATATCGATTAAAGCATTTGATACAAATTGGTTTCTGTTGATTTTGAACTCATCTATCAATGCCTCGACTTCTTTGCCATAATTGAGTGAACCCAATTGCCCACAAGCTGATAACAGGCCAACGATGGTCACCTCATCAGGTTTCATACCTTCATTTCTCATCTCTATAAACAATGCCAAGGCAGCCTCAGGGCGCCCATTTTGCGAATAACCAGAGATCAAAGCATTCCAGTTCACCAAATTATGAGAAGGCATGCGATCAAATAGTGCACGAGCCTTCTTCAGATTACCCGATCGACAAAAGCCGACCATCATTGAGCTCCAAACGAAGAAGTTACGCTTTGGCATCCTACCAAAGAGCCACTCAGCTTGATCCATCTCTCCATTAGTGGCACACGCATTAACCATTACGGTCCAATTCACCACATTCGTACATGAATGAGGCATGGCATCGAACAAAGCTCGAGCTTTTGCCACTTTGCCCTGCCTCGAGTACCCATCGATCATCTCAGTCCATGTAACCGAGCTTTTCTCAGGCATTCTTTCAAAGAGATAGAATGCCGATTCCATATCGCCTGACTTCGCATAGCCTCCAATCAAAGCATTCCATGAAACCACATTCTTTTTAGGCATTTCATCGAACAAACGCCTTGACTCGCCAAGCTCACCGAATTTCGCATAGAAATCAATCATGGCTGTTCCAATAAAGAGATCGGAATCTAGGCCCGATTTCAAGACTTGCGTATGGGTGGTCCTTCCACAGGGGAGCAGTGAGAGAGAGACCCAGGCCTTAAAGACCAGAGGAATCGCTTGATGGGGTAGCTTCTTTTCTTGCCTATGTAACTGGGAGTAGAGAACAATGGCATCTTGGGGTTGCTTGTTATGGACATAGCCTTTAATTACTGGTAACCAAAAAGAGTTTTTTATGATGGGGTTGATGAGTAAGATAGCATGGAGCTGTTTATATAGGTTAAGCTCACAGCAATTTTGAAACACAGAAACAGTTAATGAATGTGAGAGATTTTGTACAGTTTTGACCATTATAATCTAAGAGAAATGGATGGTTTCTTTCCATAACCACAATGGTTATTTGTTCTTCTTCCAATTCAGGTTTCTACTTAGAGAGAGAAACACAGCCAAAAGGGTAATGGATGGAAAGGAACCTGAACTTCGGAAGTCTGGTTTACTTGTTGCATTGCAGCTTGTATTAGGGTTAAGAAATGAGAGAAGAGGGAGAATGAGAAATGAGAGAGAGAGAGCAGCAAGTGCGACAACAGTGGAGAGAAGGTGAAGTGGTGCAGAGATCATGGACCAAAATGACACACGGAAAAGAGAAAAGACAACCAAGACTTTAATTGAGGAAGGGAAATTTAAAAATTTATCACCAATCCCACCACCAAAACCACCCGTAACACCACCCATTAATAACTTAAAAAGCAACTCCTAATCTATTTGAAAAAAATTCAGGAGGGGCCTCTCTTTCCTACTGAATTACCTAAATTTTTTTTGATAGTTCTGTTAATAAGTATTTAACATCTTATCCATCCAACAATTTATTGCCCAATGATGTATTGACGTTTGATAAAGAAAATGATACACTATTAAAATTTAAATAAAACAACCGTAATATAAGGTGTAATGCAGTGATGTTTATTAATAATTATTTCTAAAGGAAAGTATAGAATGAGACCATTAACCTTTTATACAAAGTGGTCACCTTAATTTTGACCATTGAATGTGAAATTGGGAGGTTGTAATTATTCCATTGACCAAGTCCAGACTTCAAACGAAATATTTTCGATCTTTGTGACTCATCCAAGCTATTAAATTTCACATCAAATGGTTGTAAAGAATTGTAATCACCTTGTATTCAAGGTAAATGGTCTCATTACATACAATCCCTTATTTTAATTGGATAGTGTAGTTTAAACATTTTAAAAATATGTGCTATATTTTGATATTGCTTCAAAAAACGTGCTAATTTTGCTACAGAACATTGCAATCTCACTTCTACAAGTACATTACTGCTTTAGAGAAACTACACCAAATATTGAAGGAAAATAGCTTGATAAGGCTGCAACCCTATCAAAATGAGTAAAGCCTCATCTTAGAATTCATTGAAAATATTAGTTCTAGCATCAAAATACTATTTCTGCTTGACCTTTATGATCGTGAAAAAAAGTAGGATTTTAAGTCTTAAAAATAGCGTATATTATACCACATTATCTAGACCGTCCATTTCACCCTAAAAATGAGTAGTCACGGATCCACAAGATTTGTTCTATTTTCTGAGCTTCGAATTTCATGATTGGTGTTGGAAATTGATTTTATAGCCATCGTAGAGATTTTTAATGCTTTAAATCGTTTTCATAAAGCCCAAGCCTCATAGAAACCACATCCAATATTGAATATTTTAACTTGATAATATTCCCTAAATCTAGATAGAAATATTCTCTCTAGATATCAAATATCTATCTATGACAATGTTTTTGAATGTTAACTGAAGAATTTAATTAGCAAAATGATGTACAACGAGTAAAATTTACATTCCTAAAAGAAAGAGAGAAGGAAACTAGTACCAAGTATGTCCTTCCAAAAAACAAAAATATAAAATAAATTCATTAAGAATTATTTAGCCAATTGATCTACTTGCTGATTTCTTTCTTTGTTTATATGGTAAAACACCATTCTTCCAGGCAATAAATAATTTCATTTAAAATTGCCTCCCAAGCCCATGGGACCTTGTGAGCCTTTGTACACTAATTCATTACATCTTTACAGTCTCCTTCAGTCATGTAATGGAGATAACACATAATTCCTTGTTTGAAGTTTAACAGCTCGGCTTTATTCGCTCTGCAGATATTGTAAGGCCCAGAAAAGGGAGAGTTGTGTTACCACAATCATACCTTATAAGCCCTTCCATCCCAACGGGACTAAGATTGCCTTTTGCGCTGCCATGAAAATTCAATTTAATCCATCCATTAGGGGAAGGTTGCCAGTTCCAGATCTTGGGAGCTTTTCCGCCTTAAATAAGCGACCAGTTTCAAATTCATTACTGGTAGTATACGATTCCATTTTCACCAATCTCAAATAAACTGAAAAAACTACACTCCTGGTGGTTCGTTTGATTGAGTTGTTATATTGTGGTAGTATATGATCCCATGATCAACTGACCACCCACCAGGTACAAAGTACACATTAACTTCAATGAGTTACTTTTTTGTGGTGCGGGTTTAGGCACAAATGCAAAGCAGTGCCCATTTTCCTCCATGGTTTATGCCAAAAGTGATTAGGAACATGACTAGATACAATAGCCGTTGGAAGTTCATGCCAGCCCTTGAAGAATATTGGCAATATGGAAGGCATCTGGTGTCTTACTGCATGCAATAGAATTTGCCAGTTTAGAAAACTTCTTCGCATGACAAAGAGAAAAGCCTTATCTCATTGAGTTCTCAGTAGGAAATCCATTTTCAAGTGTTGCCCTGGTGAAGTAGGAATTCGTAGGAGTGCCCCAAAACAAAATCCATTTTCAAGTGTTGCTCTGGTGAAGTAGGAATTCGTAGGAGTGTGTATAGTCTGGTATTATGTGCATGTCCAATTGGCACGTTTGGCACTACTTTCCTAGCTCAACATTCCGATTGAGAGCCATGGCCAGTAATACATATCTGTCTTTGCCATGGTCTTATTAAGGCCAAAGTACCCTCCAAGGCCACCCCTATGGAACAATTTGATAATTTTCTCTCCCAAACAACACTATAAAATGCATGGGTGACTCCCATAGATTGAGCAACCATCATGAAATACAAACTCAGTGTACATTGAGACTCATTAACAAGCCCACCACCGATGCATGCCCTTCATCACAGTAAATCTAGTAAACTCTGTACTCTACATGGTCACTAGTGTCACCTGTAGACAAAGAGCTTTGCCACCTTATAGTGGAGCCCTGACTTGTGCTTGAGAAGGAATGTTGTATTCTTCTAGATATGCGCTTAGTATGTCGAGCATTCAGTTATTTCTGAGAACTAAGGCCCTGCGATGCCTCATGGTCCAAACCTAGAATGAACTTTCAAAGTACCAAGTAGTGCCTCAAGTGCTTGATAGTGGCAAACTACTCACCACAGAAGAATGCTGATGGTATCCTCTTTGACTTAGGATTGCTCTAACGCCCATATGGGATGCTTCACACTCAACCTCAAAGACTTTATCAAAGTCTAGAAGTCATAGAACTAGGGCCTGGGTGATTCACTCTTTACATCTTAGAATGATTTCTCTGCTGCCTCAGTCTACATAGAATGATCACTCTTTAGGCTCTTGGTGATAGGAGCCATGATAGTGATAAAATTCATAACAGATCAATGGGAGGTGGCCAAACTATGGAACTTCACATCTTAATCAAGGTCTTAGGTGTCAGTCAATCCACAATTGTGTTCACCTTCTCCTGATCCACTTTAACCTCATTTATAGAAACAACATATCACATGATCTCACATTCTCAAAAACAAAAAAATATCACATGAAGCTACATTTACTTTAAATTTATGTAGAGTTTCTCTTGGCATAAAACTCTTATAATTTGTTGAAATTGCTCTCGATGTTTTTCCTATTATAATTATATCTCATTCCAACATATCTCCAAAACAAACCATTACAAAATGCTAATGAAAGGTTGTAGCACCTGAGCCATCATCTGCATAAAGTTGTGGGCACATTAGATAGGCCAAACAGCATGACCATCCACTCATAGAGGCCATTGATTTAAAAATCATCTTGTGCTCATCTCCATGCTGAATTTGAATTTGATATCTGCTTCCTAGGTAAATATTTGAGAACATGCGAGCTCTTGTAATCATGTCTAGTGTGTGGCCAAGCAAGGGACAGGGAAATGATATTTGATTGTGACTTTATTAGTGAGATAGTTATCCATACACATCTTCCATGATCCATATTTCTTCAGCATCAGCAAGGCACACAAGGCACATGGACTTGGGCTCTTACATCCTGAATGTCCTTTTTGTATAATCATTCCTTACTCTTAATACAAGTTATCTTCTCTAAAAAAAAAAAAAGGTACTACTCATGAAAACTAGCCTGGATTTTCTACTGCACCAGAGATGCGTGGCTATTTTCACCTGAGACATTCAAAATATGTGAGGGCTGATCGTTTATTGTTCAATATTCTAAATATGTGAAGCATGGTACTGAAGCAAATATGGCGATGCTATTTTTACCTTAGGCATTTGAAATATGTGACGGCTGATCGGTTTATCGTTCAATATTCTAGTTTATAAAAAATGCAACAATTTTGTACAAAGGCAATCTTATCCTTTAAGTTTCTTATTTGCAAAATAAAGACTGACAAAATGCCAAGAAATTAGAATGCATTTAGTGTACATATAATGATTAGCCATTTATATGAACTTAACACACATTTAATAGGGGCACAATTTATTGTAGAGAACAAGCCATCAAAAGAAGGTGCAATTTTCATAGGGTCCACTTTACGAAACCCCCCGATCGCTCCAGAAAACACAATTCTGGTGCCATAATCCCTTGTGATGGCCTTGAATTCTATTTCTGTCTCGAACTGTAGAAATGGAAGCTCCAAAAATGGTGCAAATATGGCTGATCTGTGAACATTTGAATGAAGGCCTGAAAAATGTGGTACAAGATGGTCTCTTTTTAGGCTTTGGAATCCATTTTTTTAATTAGATCCATGATTATCAAGATCGAGATGATCTATTTGCTAATCTTTCAGTGCTTGAACTGCAGTTTTTGGTGAAATTTGAGGTGTAGTTTTTTAAATTCATGACTCTAAAAAAAAGTCATGACTCCAAAAAATACTTTTCCAAAGAAGGAAAGACACAAAAAAAAAGAAAAAAAAGAAAGAAAGAAAGAAAGAAGAAAAGAAAATATAGGAGAGCAAAAATAAAGGTCATGTACGACAAGAATAGAGAGGAAACCTTCTTGCTTCATATATATTAGATAGATAAGTAACAGTAGATTGCACTTCAATTGCACATAAAATTCATCCAAAACTTTTATGATATGATAGGTTCTTATCTTTTGATTTACCTTGTTACCCCCCAATCTTCAAAAAGTCTAAGAATCACCAGAGGAGCATAATGCCAATTGGTTCCAATATTTGGAATTTAAAGGAATATTTTGAATTAATAATATTAATTAATGAGAAAGTTGGTAGACAATAATACATCTCCTTTTCACTATATAATCTGTGAATGACTCAAAACTGCTCACTATTTGACACATTGTGCATGCACCACCCCAACAAGAGGACATTCATATTGCTGATAGATCACTCTACACTAAAAGCATGCTGCACCCATAAAGGACCACATAAGTAATTTCCTTCGATCTTGAATTTGGCCCTTATCTTTGTATTTACCTTTGTGTGCACAATATTAGACCACGCGAAAAGAATCAGCAATTCGCTTCAGGTCCTTGTAATGCCTTTTCCATTGAAGACCTAGGATCAGAATTTATCTTTCAGATACGCAAACCTTCTCTAATAAGTAAAATTACAAAACCACAAAAACGTTATATGTTAAGTTGCACCAAAATGTTAGAACAAAATTAAAGTAAATGTAATCTCATGAGATTACTATAGAAAACATAGAACAGGAAACGAGAACCCAAACAAGAAAACAAGGGAACCTTTGTTACTTACCACTTCATGTTTGACAAATGAAAGCTTTTGTTACTTACCACTTCCGGTTATATTGAAGAGGTAGAGTCTATTGCCTGCTGCAGTTGCAGTTATTAAAGCATGGGGTGGCTCAAGTTCATACTGGTAGTATTTCCTCCCCGAATGTTCTGAAACTTCCATGCTCAATACCTTACCCTCGACATTTTCGCCTATAACCTCAGGCCCGAATGCTGCAATTACTTTATCAGGTGGTCCAATATCTTCGATTTTTGTATTCTCCCCAAGATCTACAACATGTTTCTTGTGAGCACATCCTTGAGTGAAAAGATTTTCACAATTTTCAAAGTGGGTTTCCATTCAAAAGTTGGAAATCTGGATTAAGACGAATGTCATTGTAAAAGCTTTAACCACGTATCAGAGTATCATCTTGAGGAAGAGAGCTATAATTAGAGGGCCTCTAGTGAACATAGCATTAAACACCTCATGGTTTTAGTTTTTGCAGATTGACAAGTATTGTAAATTTCAAGGTGATCTATTTTTTAATTAGAAGTGCTTCTTGAAAATAAGTTCTCTCTCCATAAAAGGTATTGAAATAAAAAAGAACAACCAAGTAGAAATAAATTAATCTCACACCTGTTCCAAGTAAGATAATTTAAAGTTTGATGAATAGACACAATTCTAGTGGAGCATCAACAAACTTATAAACTTCTTTTTAATGATCATTCAGGTCTAAATAGGGCTGGCAACAGGCCAGGGCAGTACTGAGCGCAACCCCGGACTGCTGAAGAGGCCCTGGCCCAGGTTCTGTCTAGGTCGGGCCGGCCCTCTTGTTGCCTAGGCCCAAGCCTGGTATTTGGGTCCCATTTTGTGGCTCTGTGCCCTAGTTTTTCAGGGCCAATCCAGGCCTGCTGGCCCACTGCCTGCCTAGTTCAATGGGCACTTGCCTGACGGCCTTTCCATTCGCAATGTTCCAACTAGCACATACTACTTTTGGGACTACTAACAAGTCATCCAAGAAGCATCAAATGTAGGGAAACAAAATTAATGTTGACAAATATACACATAAAATTTAAACATGTATATGCTGCCACAACTGGATCACTTCAAGAATGATGACTAAAAATATATAATGATGTGCTATTCATGAATGGATAGCTTCTTTGAAGAGAGATTTTAAACAACATTCACATAATATCATTAAGAATAATGCCGATTCTTCTAAAACATTTGGAATTGAATCAGAATATTGTAACAAGCAAACACCGCTTTTCTTTTGTTGTGGCGATATGTCTCTTATAGCAACGGGCTCCAGACATCCAGCATTTAAAGTTAGAGAGAGAATAGTGATTGCATCATTTGAAAATCTTGAAAAACCTTCATCAGAGGATTAGGTTCCCACTTGAAACAGATAAATTTTACTAGGGGAGAATCAGTTGGTTGAGTGAAAATGGCTACAGATAGGCTCATTCAAATACCATAAGCTTGTTTATAGATGTTTAGTGCAACTGTCACATCAATAATATGTTACAGCACAAACAAATTTAACTATTTTGTTTACAAATGAAGGAACCAACACATCACTAGTTTGGATGCTGATAACAAGAAGATGCTGTTACAGTTGAAGGAAAATTTATGCAAGGTCTTTAGCATCCTATGAACTTGAAATCCTTTCTTGAGCTTAAGATAGGAAGAGAAACACTCATCTACCAACGGGAATATAAAATTAATTTTCATGGCATTTACCCCTTAGTAGAGGAGAGGGGAAGCAACAGTTTTGAAAATTCTATAGCATTGTAAAGCTGAAGGAGCACGACTGCAATGCTAAAGACACACTAAGACACATGTACGTGCGCACACACACACATATGAATAAAGGAGCTATTCATATTCCTTGTGATGTATCCTAATGCTTCATGCATCGTAGCCTGTTATATTTCATCATCAGAGTACATTATGCATTAAATAACCTATGTCATGAGAGAGGAATTTTGCAGATCACAATAAACTATAGTGTATGTGCATATGTATGTGTCCACATCTCTCTCTCTCTCTCTCTCTTTCTATGTTTTTATAGAGACATACATACAGACCAATTGTTGCAGCTGTCATATATGCATCCATACTTACTATATAATATCCATGTATGAGTGACCACATACTGGTTTACTCCTACATGGTATTGGCAGAACCAATGGCAGCTCTGAGGTTTTGGAAGTTGGGGGTATCATTATAACACGAAGATTGTAAATTGTAATTTTTCTACCATATATGAAATAATAAAAGAAACAGAGGCTTTCAATTCCAGTGCTTTATCAGGATGTTTGCTCATGATTCCAGTCCAGGTATTATTTACATTTTTTTTGAAAATGTTAACTGTTCCAGGTATTATATACATTTTACTTTGTTAATCTACTAGTCACCTTTACATGAAAATGGAGGTAGACAAATCAACTGGCATAGTATATCAATCAGTGCCTCACAGAATTTGAGTTGTTCATACAACTAGTGTGCCTGTTGCTAATGGCTTTATGCACAAATCTAGAACAACCAAATTTCGTGGTTCTTAGATCATCTCCAGGAAGAGGTGTTCTTTATGAACCTAGCAATGATCTTGATATAACTGGCTATGAATTCAGATAGGGTTGTATCACAAGAACATAGAAATTGACAATTAGACATATCTCTTCATAGTGTCTTTGTAAATTGGATACCGAGAGGAAAAATGCAGTCATGAAACCAAGGATGAGACCAAGTGCAGGGAGGTGGAAGCAACACTATGTGAGCTTGTATGGCTTAGGGAACTTCTTAATATATGTAGGTAAAGACAAGTTTTATCTTCGAGATGTACCTTTATTGCCATTGACACCATGAAAGAGTAATTATCACAAAGTGAAAAAAAAAAATGTCTTAGGAGGCTTTTTCATTTGTTTTGATGAGGCATGTTTGCACATACAAAAATGGCGCAAAATCACAGGGAAACCATAATAAAGCATCGGGTACAATAAAGGAATGAACGAAATATACTAGACTAAAATTATCTGTAGACATAATTAAAAGGAACTCTCTAATATCATGTCACAATCCACATGAAAAAAGTATCATATCGATATTGAACAGTCTCTATGAATTCAAAATTTCAAAGCTTGCGATGCAGTAGTAGAACCAAGAAGCTCAAGACATTGCGATCAGGTTCCGATGCATTAACACACTAAATGTATTCTTCTTCAGGATGTGAACAGATACAATTTCAATCGAAAGAGAAGCAGTGAACCCTCTTTGGAGATTGCGCAGTTTTGGAGCTGTCCATAATTCCTCACTACAATGACCCTAAACTATTTCCACTAACATTTCCAAATTTCCACTACTGGTTCCAAACCAGCCCACGCAACTGGTCAGTAAGATCATTTCAGACTAATTGAAGACTCACATAACGGAAAATATCCTACAAGGGAAAATCATTCTCTCACTAAATGATGTGAAAAATCCAAATGAAATAAAAAGCATGGTAGTACCTGCAAATCTGAGTACAGGTGCAACAACAACAGATAAACGCCCTTCCTTAGTGCTTGCAAATCTCAAATCAATCTCTGTACCCCCAAGATCCGCAATTGAGACAGGAACCTAAAAACATATCATATTCCATTGAATACTTAAAGAATCATATTAACACAGAACATATCATATTACATTGAATAATTAAATAATCATATTGACGCACACACATACACACTACAGAGTATTTACCTCTTCCCAATCCTGGGGTACTGCAAAAGTGTAAGGAATAATGGGACTCCACCCAACTCCATGACCCCCAGACTTCGCATCTGGTCTGCGATAAGTCCTCCAACCTGTCTGATCAGATTTCAACTTCTGAAGATATAGAGAGAGATACTAAGGTGATACAAGTACCAACACCAAAGAAAAAGAGCGAATACTGCAGAAAAAGTGCTAGAAACAGTCATGCGAACATTTAAGCATCATTCTTCCTATTGTACTTGCATTTAACGCAATGGTGACATAACAGAGTAGAACTCATACAAAGATTGCAGCCAAACAATACATGAACGATAGAGAAGCACGTATTTCGGGGTTTGAAAAATTAATCCATGCGAAATTGATAGGCAGAGTATTCTTATCTATGTGATGAATTGATGAAACGCAACTTCAATAGACATATAATCTTCTAATAGATTTGCAGCTTGCAACCAGTCATGGAAATGGATTAGAGGAAATCCGAAACCAACAATTCTCAAAAGCTAAGACTGTTACCGTGCTAGGATTATGCTCCAGAATCCAAATTTTCAATTTTTACCGAGAAGTATCTGCATTGCTCTCTCTCTCTCTCTCTCTCTACTAACATACACACACGAGCACGAGGAAGTAAAAGTTAATTAAATTACTATTGAGAGAGAGAGAGAGAGAGAGAGAGAGAGAGAGAGAGAGAGAGAGAGAGAGAGAGAGAGAGAGAGAGAGAGAGTACGAGTAGTACGTACGTACGTACGTACGTACGTACGTACGTACGTACGTACGTACGTACGTACGTACGTACGTACGTACGTACGTACGTACCGTACGT